CCTGAGCCAGGGACATTTGTATGCCATACGGTGGACTTGGAGGGGTGGGTATTGTTTTTGATATTTTTTTCGTAATTTACAAAGAAGTTAATGTTAATACCCTACAACACTATGTGTTGGGGGTATTATAAGTTGGATTGGGCCAACAGTTATATAACACCTTGAAATAATGGTTTCCGATTGACCATTATGTCGATGTTCCTCTCTCGCCGAGCTGAGTCGATTTAGCTATATATGTCCGTCCGTCTGTTCATGTTAATTTGTAATCAGGTTACAGGTCGCAATTATGGTCCAGTCCTCACAAATTGAAAATGGAGGTGGGGTTAGGGTCAAAATAGAACCCTTTTGTTTATGGAGATGTTCGTAAAATATTCATGATTTTGCAGTTGCTCTATAGGCCACAATTATTAACCAATCGATGCGGAAATTTGCATGGAGTTAGAGTTCAGGACTGGGCAGAAGCTATCCAATTTGGATAGTAATCTTTATGTCAAAAAATACGAAAATTTCCACTAAACCGCGAATATTTTTGATCCCGGCCAAATCACAAATACATTAAAAGGCGATCAGAAGTGACCTTACAGTGATGCTAATAGCCAAGATATCGGATATGTAGCAAAATAGGTACAATATATATGTAAAATTAGATCTTAGTTATTTTGCTTATAAGTCAAGAACAGCTGGACAGTTTTTCACAATTCTCATTAATTCGGAATGGTATCTTGCGGGGAAAAAATATTATCCAGGAATATTTTTTCTTAATTTTTGTCTTTTTTATCACCTGCGATTTTTTCAATTTGCTCACCAAATTTTGAATGGGGATAGGATGTCAGAATAAATGTCTATAAGTCCTTCCCGTTAATAATTGAAAATAATTTCATTCAAGGGACTACCTCGACTGACCATACAGTAGCCTAACCGATCGGCGCAATGTTTGTGCACATTAACAATGCCGCTGAAATAATGAGCTTCAAACACTGGTGATGGCCATTCCTTGTTTATTTTCAAAGAAAAACGGCCCAATGATGCCTCAGAACCATAAACCGGACCAAACAGTAACTCGTTTTGGGTGCGCTGACTTTCTAATGTATACGTGGAGGTTTTTTTTTGCCCCAAAAGTCATAATTTAGCTTTTTACAACCTCCACCTTGAAAAGAGAGGGTATATTTACATTGTCATTCAATTTGTAACATCCATTAATATTCGTCGTAGACCCCATAATGTCTGTCTGTCCGTCTGTCTGTTGTCATCACAATACAACCCACATTATTTGATGTAGGGCTTCAAAATGTGGTAGAACAATTTTTATTATGTTTCGGATGGTTGGTATATATTGGTATTGGTGGCGAAACATTGAATATACAGGTCCACGTTTTTGTATAACACCCCACATAACGGTGGTTATAAACTTTCCCATGGATTTATCAAAAAATTGGTATTTGTAGTTCATAATGGTTTCTAGCTTCGGTGGCGAAACATGGTATGTGTAGTTCCACGTTTTTGTATAGCCCCCATGTAACGGTATCTCCCGATATTCGGTATTTTGATGATTGTTGCCACATTTTCCCACGGATTTGTCTAAAAAATTGGAATTTATAGTTCATACTGATTTCTAGCTCAGGTGGCAGAATATTGAATATTTTGTTCCACGTTTTCCTATAGCGCACATATACCGATACCCACTGATAATCGGTATTTTGATAATCCTATTCACATTTACGAATGAAATTGTTTCAAATTTGGTATTAAGGACGTTTTGGTAGATCACAATCCTTGAATTATAAAATTGTCTATAGAGGTTCCCGTTTTGGTATGGCCCCCATACCACGGCCTCGGCCACTTTGTGTTTTTTTTTTTTTTTTTTTGGAAAGTTTATCAGCAATTTCCAAACGGTCTTGCTGGTATTTGTAGTTAAAGTGGAACACGTTGGAATTCAGATACTTTTATATAAAAAAGTTCTGCCCGACCGGACTTAATGTTCTTTTACTGGTTTATATATCCTGCCATTGTATCATATGAACTTTTTCTGGAAAGATGTATTTTTGGCAAAATCGGTTTCTTCTGCAAGACGATCGCAGGTCTACTTAGCAAAGCGAATAAGCATTGAATGGTCAGTTCGATGCAATTACGGAACCACTGTAAAATGTGAAGTGATGTAGATGGCACTTCACGCACACTCTCTGCCCAAGCAGCAGTTTATATATAAAAATAGGCACGCTATTGATAAGTCACTTTTGATAATCATGACTCTCATTTTCTTCTAACCTCCATCATTTTTAATGCAATGACTGTCAAACAACTTATTTTTTTATACCCTACACCACACTGTGGTCAGGGTGTTATGTTGTTGTGCATTTGTTTGTAATATGGAGAAGGAAACGAGATAGACCTATAGTTCCTTTTGATGATCTGCATGGATTCGCATTCTGAGTTCATTTAAGCATGTCTGTTCGTCTTTCCGACTGTCCATGTATTTTTGTAAACAAAATACAGGTCACATTTATTGTCTGATGGAAATGAAACTTTCCACAAATCAGTTGTTTGGTCCAAGGACGAATCCTATTGAAGTTGGTGATAATCTGTCGAAATTTAAATATAGCTCCCATATATATCTTCATTCGATTTAAATTTTATTATGCGCCAAATATTTAATATTCGTCCAAATAAGATGTGATTCAGCACATCGGACAGAATATAGCCTAAAAACAAGTACTTCAAATTTGGAGGAAATCGGTTCAGATATAGCCATAGCTCCCATATATATGTTTTATCTAATTTGGAGTTTTATGTCCCTCACATGAGTAATATGCACTTCGCAAGAATGACATTTGGTACCAGATAACTTATGGAGCTCAAAAATACCACTGTCAAATTTTACAGAGATCGGTTCAGATTTGGATATAGTTCCCATACATATATCCTCAACCGATTTTGAGTTAATTGTGCACAAAATGGCCAATGTCAGTCCAAATTGTACATCCGACCGAATTCAGTCTAGAAGCAAGTACATCAAATTTGGTGAAAATCAAATTTAGCTATAGCTCCCATATATATCTTCCTTCCGATTTTATTGTTAAGTCCCTCTCATGCGTAATATCCACTCCGCCAGAATGATATTTGATGCCAGATAACTTATGAAGCTCAAATATTCCCCTGTCAAAATTTATCGAGATCGGATCGAATTTGGATATAGCTCCCATATATATCTTTGTCCGATTTGACGTTTATTGTGCCACCAAATGTCTAAAATCAGCCTGAATGGCCTGATCTTTGGCACTTCCGTTGGAATACAACCTAGAAGCAAGTATTTCAAATGTTGGTGGCATTCGATTCAGATATAGCTATAGCTCCCATATATATGTTTCATTCGATTTGGTGTTAAAATCCTTAAATAGCAACTCCACTTTAGCAACTCCACTTTAATACCGAACACCAGATAAAGCTAAAAAAAACGTCTGCCAAATTTTATCGAGATCGTTTCAGATTTTTATATAGCTTTGATATACATCTTCATCCGATTTTACGGCTATTCTTCACCATATATGCAAAATCAGACCAATTTGGATCGATTTTTATACCCTCCACCATACTATGGAGGGTATATTAATTTTGTCATTCCGTTTGTAACTCCTCCAAATACTCAAGTCAGACCCAACAAAGTATATATATTCTTGATCAGCGTAAAATTCTAAGATGCCATGTCCGTTGTTTGTCTGTGTGTCTGTCTGTCTGTTGTAATCTTTCGAACAAATTGAGAAAGAAGGCTAAAATTTTGCACACATGTATATTTTGCCAGTAGGCAAAGTTCGTAAATGGGCCATGTAGGTCAAAGTTATCATATAGCCCCCATATAACGGTACCTCCCAAAATTCGGTATTTTGATGATTTTATCGACATTAATTACCGGAATTGTTTCAAATTTGGTTCGTAGTGGATACTACATCCTAAGACAAAAAATGAGCTATGTAGGTCCACGTCTTCATATAGCCCCCATATAACGGTACCCACCGACATTCGGTATTTTGACGATTTTAGCGACATTATTTAATGGAATCGTTCCAAATATGGTATTTGAAAAAAAACAGAAAACGGGCCATGTAGGTCAACGTCTTGGTATAGCACCCATATACCGTACCCCTCGATATTCGGTATTTTGATGATTTTAGCAACATTATTTACCGGGATTGATTCAAATTTCGCATGTGAAAATCGTAATGGATACTACAGCCCATGCCAGATAATTGTCTGTGCAGGTCGTCTTATAGGCATTCGGTATTTTTAGGATGTTAACAGAATTTTTAACGGATTTTATTTTATTTTTACATTCTTTTTTTTTTGGAAATTGCCAAATTGATACCATATGGTGGAGGGTAGTAAAAGTTCGGCCCGGCCTTTTTATTTGTTTCATATTCAACCGATGTTTTCTATTTGGCGAAACTCGGTCCGCTCGGTCATGAAGTATACCTCAATGTTATTTGGTACTAAAGGTACAAAAGCCTCCATCAAATTTGTTGAAAATCAATTCAGAGTTGGATATAATTCCCAAATTGTGACTGCCATGATACGCATTCAAATAAGGTTCATATTTGATATGAATTATTTCACATGAATTCCCAATATTAATTTGTTTGTTTCTGGAGCTCTACTCTAAATCCTCGCCCGACTTTTAACCTTTCCTTACTGGTTTCTTGGTTGTAGATAAAATAAATCTCCCTCTTTTAAAGAACTTAATTCCTTTTTTTTTGCTGGTCTCTAATGCCACAACCAGGCAACCTTTTCTCCTGGGGTGGTAACTGCTTTATATATTCGCATAATTCACAATTATTCCCAGCTGTGTCTGTGACACATTCAATTATTTAAACTACCTTGAAAAATATAATATCCATCATCATCATCCTGCTCATTCTCATTATGCAAAAAATAATCCACTTTAGAGTAATATCCCCCTTAAAACTTTCACAGTAATGCTAATAATCTCTTCTCTTTTCTTCCCTTTACAGTTGCTGTTGCAGTGGCCTTTTTCCTGTGCTGGGCGCCATTTCATGCCCAACGTCTGATGGCTGTGTACGGCTCAACATCTGGCATACAGTCGGAAGTTTTCAATAATATATTTCACATTTTGGATTATACATCGGGAGTGCTGTACTTTTTGTCCACCTGCATTAATCCGCTGCTCTACAATATTATGAGCCATAAATTCCGTGAAGCATTCAAGGTACAACACCATCGGCTCGTAATCAGACACCAAGCTCGTATCTCACTAACTCAACAATTTTCTTGTCTTGTTTTCTTTTTTCATTTCTTTTCTTTTTCTTCATCTTTATTCCTACAACAAATCTGGCTTGAACTGTGCACCTACTATTGGAAATGATCTATTCGACTACTACCACCACCTCCACCACCACTACTACTACTACCACTCACCTTTTTATAACCACAACAACAATAACAAAATTCTAAATTTTTCATAAAATATTTATTCACATTTCCGTTTCCATACCCACCCGTTAACCGCAAACACCACTAACTTTAACTAAACTTTGCCTTGAATTTTCGCGCTCTCTCTCTCTCCACCCACCCAACCTCTCTTCATATCATCATTTCTGTGGGCAAATTTTACAATTTACTTGAAATGGTTGTTGTATTTGTATGCTTCTTTGCCTTCTTCTTCTGTTTTTGCCTTGTTTTGCTTTTCGTTTTCCTTATCTCACTTGCAGGTCACACTGGCTCGCCAATTCTTCTCGGGCGGCAAAAACCAGACACAAAATCACAACTACAGTGCACTGCTTCGGCACGGCAATGGCTCACTGCGCCTGCATCATACCACGGTGAATAATAATGCTCTTGAGCACTATAGCTCTTATCGAGTTGTCCAATTGCAATATCGTGACCCAAGCCATCATCTTTCTCTACAGGATAGCATAAGGACGACAACAACAACGACGACAATTAACAGCGGAAGTGGAGGTGCGGCAATAGGCAGTGGGGGAAATGCTGCCCTCAATGGTTCGCGGGGTGCTGGAACAGATAGTGCCAACTCAACCTTGAAGGGAACACATCATTGCAGTACGGCACGCAACTCGCAGTATCGAGGACGTTGCATGTCCATGGGTTCCCAGTCCACTTTGGCCACAAATACTCCAGGTCCAGGGCATCGCATGCTGCAGACCCAAATATCCCAGCTATCATCGGTGGGTGATGCCAACTCTCTCATGGAATGTGATATAGGTAACTCTGGTTCGGCAGGTGGTAATTGTCGCCTCAAAGCTATGCGCCGCCAGAGATCAAGGGGTGCCGACGAATGCATCTCCATCGACTCAACGTCGCAGGCCAATGTTCAATTATGGCGTGAAGACAAGAAACGCAACTCCAACATGCATGAAACCGAGCTGTATTCCAAACCCATGGGTCCCCACATTATGGCCGCCACAATGGTGGCCACCCAACCCATACAGCCCATGAACTCCATAGCCGAGCTGAGTATAGAAAGACCAAGTCGTTCCAGACTCAAGCTTTCACGCATCATAACGAGGCGCAATGATGACGCCTTTGTTGTACAATCCATGCCGAGGGTGGAGCTAATGAAGCCAGCCCATCAATACCACAAAGATCGTTCCTCGAAGACCCTAAATTCTCTGGCGGAGAAATTCAAATGGCGCACCAAAAGAAAACCGGCCAACACCCAGCACATCTCCTACTGTAGCAGAATCGCCAACAATACCAAAGGCTCTTACGATACAATCGAAGCTCGGGATGAGGCAAGCAAACCTGCCACAGCTCTAATGAAGGTGGTCTACAATACCACACCGCCTCAGCATCAGGTTCTGGAATCAGAGCTGGCCCTAAATCATCATTCGGAGTCGTCGTTGGGCTATCGCAGCCCACATGCCTTATGATGACCGATTATAAATGACTACTCCTCGCTGAGGAGGTCCCAATACCACAGAGCTTCGGCAGCTGCCACCACCAGTAGGGATGTCATAATGGCCGGTTTTCACAAGGACATCGATGTATGGGGAACAAAGAGGTGGAACAAGGACAATGGTGTTGTGGATGATGATGACGAAATTGCTAAACCGGTTGTTCACACAAACAAAACTGACGACCTGGAAATGAATCAATTTAGATAAGACTGCAAAGAAGAAAAAAAAAAGAAAACTAATAAAACCTAAAAAACGAAGAATAAACGAAAAACAAGTGAAAGTAAACAAAAAAATACAATAGAAAGCTATTTTACACCAAAAAAGAAAAGGGCAAGGTGTCCATTGCACAGTGGTTCAAGGAAGAGAAAATTAGCTTTTTAAAAAATTTGAAAAATGTATTATGCTAGTACTAAACGAATTTTAGAGCCATACAAAATTCCTGTTAATATGAAATAATATTATGAGAGATACCAGATGTCCTTAAATGAGAGTCTACTAAAATAAGATCAGGAGAAATTCAAATTTTGGGAAAAATTTGTAGGGGTTTGGTAATGAAATTTGTATTAGGTATGCAATTTTAGATCCACAACAAACAAAAAATAAAATAGAAGCTAAGTTCGACCGGGTCAACATTTTAATACCCTCCGCCATTTTGCAGAAAAATTCAAAATATTTTTTTGAAGACATCCGCCAAAAAATTCCGCTCAAAGAAAAACATTTATATAGGGGCTTTGCGAAAACGTTGTTATGCACATACAATTTTCTGTCATAGGATGTAGTATACTTTACGAACTTCAAATACGAGATTTGAAACAAATCCGGTAAACAAAATTCCTTATATCTTCAAAATACCGAATATCGGTAGGTATCTTTATATGGGGTTAAATGAAGACGTAGACCTACAAAGACAATTATTCGTCATAGGTTGTAGTATTCATTAAAGCTTCAAATACGAAATTTGAAACCATTCCGGTGAATCATGTTTCTATAATCATCAAAATACCAAATATCGAGGGTACCGTTGTATGGAGGATATAGATCTATATGGACAATTCTCTTCCAGGGGGTAAAGTACTCCTTGTGTAGAATTTCCCACAATTTCATTGCAAAATGTGGCTAAAATCATCAAAATACCGACTACTGGGGGTACCGTTATATGGGACCTATACGATATAGCGGATCAACATAGCCGATTTTCGAACTCGTTCTGCCTGCAGACAAAAGACTGATATGTACAAAATTTTGAGTTTCCTATCTTAAGTCGTTTTGACTCTAACGTGAGTACAACAGACAGACAGATGGAATAATCTCAGAATTTTATCCTGATCAAGAATATATACAGGGTGACATAAAAATCTACCACAAGGTAAAAGCCATAAGTTTTACATTTTTCTTTAAATTTTATTGAATGAAAGCAAAAAATGTCGAAAATGGCATCAAATTTTAGAATAAGTTTAGATTTGTTCGAATTGGTCACCTTTGGCACGAATTATGGCCTTCAAACGGACAATGAAACCTTCACACGCTGCCCAAATGTTGCTCTGCGGTATTTTGGCCCATTCCTGGCAAAGCGCTTGCTTGAGGTGATCGACACTTTGGTATTTTTTAGTGCCAACCTTGCTTTCCAAAATTCTCCAGTCACAAAAGTCCAACGGATTGGTATTCGGAGATTTTGGTGGCCACTGTGCCCTGGAAATGAAGCGAGGAACCTCATTTTGTAACCATTCTTGGGTGGCGCGTGCTGAGTGCGATGGTCCTGAGTCCTGTTGGAATGTCACCCTCCAGAATATTTTCGCGATAATATTCGGCATTTATTCTGATGCCACGGTCGATTAATACGAGTGGAGAGCGACCATCGGCTGTTATGGCGGCCCACACCATCACCATCACTGGTGCTTGAGTTCTGGTGGCCAATCGAAGGTGCACATTTTCAGCTAACCCCTTTGGCAAGTAAACACGATCATTTTGTTTGTTTACAACCTGCTGGACAACGAATGTTTTCTCAACGGAGAAAACCAAATTCGGCAGTTCACTACTCTCGACCAAGCGACGCATTGCATTCTTTTGTTCTTTTGAGTCTATTTTCTTTCTTTCCGCCCACTTCCTTGACGTCGCGCTACGCTACCAGTATCACGGAGTTCTCTAACCACTTGGGGTTTTCCAGGCAAATATAAAGAAATCACACTATCACACTTGAATTCAATCACGAATAACTTTTTTCTGGAAAATTCTCACAAAAATGCTTTTGTACGCAGCTATGAGCAGCTGTTAAAATTGCTGTCGGACGAGTGGCTTAGAAGTTGGTTACAGTTTTTTCTCCTCACCCTGTATATGGGAACTACATCTAAATTCTGACCAATTATGTCCATCTAGGGTTCGTCGTTATACAAAATTTCATCTCGTTCGGTCAATAAATGAGACATGTACTTTGGACAGACGTACGAACGGACGTGTGTAAATCGAATCAGAATATGATTCTATGCTGATCATCAAAAGAAACAATGGGTCTGCCACGCTTCCTTCTCCATGTTACAAACAAATACACAAAGACATAATACCGTGACCACAGTGTGGTGTAGGGTATTTGAACGTACTTTCTCATTACCAAGTAATGAGTAAGACAAAGTGTGCGTGTCCGACCAAAAAACCAAAGGTTCTTAGCTCGAGGTCGCTGTTGGATAAAAGCAATTAAAAGAAAACCACGCAAAAAAAATATTTTCAATAGGCGATTCTAGTGCTGGATAAGTAATTTTTTGGGATAGGCTATAGTAACGATTCCGAACTTCAAATACGGAATTCGACACAATTCCGGTGAATAATGTCTCCAATATCATCAAAATACCGAATAAAGAGTGGTACCGTTGTATGGGGGCTAAACTAAGACGTAGACCTCCATTTCCGTCATAGATTGTGGTACGCGTTACAAAATTCAAATACGAAATTTGACGCAATTCCGATGAAAAATGTCGCCAAAATCCTGGAAATACCTAATATAGACAATTCTCTTTCAGGGGTTAAGTACTTCGAAAGAACTCCTTGTGTGAATTTTCATTCAATTTAAAAATGTGGCTAAAATCATCAAAATACCTAATATCCCGGGGCACCATTGTATGGGCGCTATACGATATCGTGGACCTATATAGAAAATTATCTTTGAGGGGCTAAGTACTTAGCAGGAACTCTTGGTGCAAATTTTAAGCCAATTCCATTAAAAAAATGTGGCTAAAATCAAAAAAAAAAAAAAATAGCGGACACCATTATATGGGGGCTATACGATATCGTGGACCTGCATAAACAATTTTCTTTCAGAGGTTAAAGTACTCACAGGGAAATCTTTGTGCAGACTTTCAAACAATTCCGTTTTAAAAAATTGTGGCTAAAATCATTTAAATGCAAAATATCGGAGGTACTGTTATATGGGAGCTATACGATATCGTGGATCGATCTAGCCCATCTTCGAACTTGACCTGCCTGCAGACAGAAAACAGATTGGTGCAAAATTTTAGTATGCCCTCCATCCATATGTATGGTGGAGGGTATAAAAATCTCTAATTACCTTTCCCATAAATTGAGCCACTGTGCCACGGTGACAATACAGCTGTGAATTATTGCGCAAAAACACCCAATATGGCCGATAAAACAAAATTCCATACCCAAATAAAAATGGTTGTAAGTATCATTAGATCCTATCAGCGTGTGAATGTGTGTGACAATTTTACGAAAGTGAAACATAAACCATTTGTCCTTGACATTGACTTGACGAAATGGGGCTTAGAAGAAAAAAAAATATTGTCAATTATGTGTGACATATTAACAAAGCAAATGAGAAATTAATTACATAAATGACTTTCCAAGGACTCTTCAGGATTTTCGTTTCCAAAAAAAAATATTTTCCGATTTTATTTTCCATGGATTCCAATTGAGTGGAGATTAGAAACATTACCTTCCTTAATTTGCTGAATTCTTAAAAATACCTTTTAAAATTATTGCATAAAAATTTTAGTGTTTTCACTTCTGAGAAAAAAACACAAACTTTTACATACAAAGATATTTATTATTGGCAAATATGGCCATTTTATTGCCAATAAACAATTTCTTTGTAATTTTTGTTATTTTTTTCCCAGAAGCTATTTTCAAAAGGCTATTAAACGTCAAAAACAATACCAAGGAATTTCAATAAAAATTATGTCTTTGTCAAGGACATGGATGTGTGTTTTACTGTCGAAATGATTGACACCCATCCCCATTCAAAGCAACTTAAACAAAACTTCAAACGAAGAAAATATATTAAACAAAAAAAATATACTTTCAACCATCAAAAAAGTGATATTGTAAAATAGATTGCTTTCTTTAAAAATAGAAAAAATATATAACAATTTACTATAAGTAAGAAATTTTTTTAAATTGAAATTAATTTTAAGTTGAATTTTAAAATAAAATTGTAATCAAAATTAACGAAAAACCTTCTCATTCCCCTACATTATTTTTAGGTGGAATTCTAGTCATAGTTGTTGTATTAAACAAAAAAAAATTATATATTTATTAAGGAATTGTAAGAATTTCATTGTAACTAAGGCTTAGGGTGTTACGTTGCCGCTAGCAAACTGGCATAATTAAATGATTTATTATAAAAACCATTAATAAAATTAAATAAGTTTTAAACCACTGAATCAAAATAAGACAATATTGTTAAAAAAAAGAATTATATTCTAATTTTTCGTTTTAAATTGTATAGATATTTTTTTAAATTATTGTATAATTAATTTAATATTAACAATATTCCTGAAAATAAATCATTTCGTAATTTTAACAAATTATACTTCTATTTGTTTATATTTTTAAAAGTTATTTTCGCAGACATTTTCTCAGTGGAAACCACAATATCAGAACAAACAAGTAAAAAAATGTAAGTTCGGCCGGGCCAACCTTTGAATACCCTCCACCATTTGAAACGAATTTGCCAATTTTCAAAGAAAAATTAAATCCGTTGAAAATTCTTGTGAAATCTTAAAAATTCCAAATGTAACCGTCATATTATGGTCTAAACGACGACGTAGACCTACATAGACATTTGTCATAAGCCATTCAAATGCGAAACTTGAAGAAAAAATTCGGTTAATAATGCAGCTAAAATCATCAATATGTGGAGGTACTATTATATGGGAGTTATACCAAAATGTGGACCTGCACAGACAATTTTCTTCCTTAGGCTGCAGTATCCATTACGAATTTCAAAAACCAAATTTGAAACAAGTTCGATGAATAATGTCACTAAAACCAAATAAATACCGAATATAGGGAGATGCCGTTATACCAAAACATGG